TCTGAAGGCAGCTGCTAGTGGTGTGAGGCTGTCGGGGATGCAGATGGGGATGTACCCTCGTAGCCAGGCCTTGTCTCTGCAGGGGCTGCCTCGGGAGGTAACGGGGTGTCGGCCCAGAGCAGGGTAGCATCCATATCATGCCTGCGTGTGCCAGTGGGAAGGTTGTCTGAAGCCAGTGGCTCGTGGCATGAAGTGGTCGGTGTAGCTGGTGTGGGAGGCTTGGGGCTGTCCTGGTGCATAGTCTTGTGAGCCATACTGGTGGGTCAATATTGTCTACGGTAGGAGCTAGAAATGGGGAGACTGCTGTTGGACTACAGTGCTTGGGAGCTGGGCATGGAAATGTTTTCACAGCTCAGACCCAGCTAACAGGGGAAATATTCACTTGGAGTGCAGCCCCACTCTACACTTTCATTGACTGCAATGCGATATGGTGGTGGAGGTGAGGGAACTGAGCATTTGGATACTGCCCGCTCTATAGCTCAGTCCCTGAAGTGTGGTGTGGCTAACCCTAGGCTGGACAGGGAATGGTTCTGCAAGTAGGTTTTACTGTTAGGATCTACTAGGAAGGTGGGGGACAGAGGAAAGAATTGCTGCACTATCTAGTGGAACCCCAAGCAACTCAGATCACCCCCATTGGCCTTATCTAAACACTCAGTGTTATCGTAGCGTAGAGTCAGTGTGGAACCTATGTAAAATGCAAACATGGAAAGAGAAAAGAAAATACCACAAAAACAACAAATATACACACTCAATCATGAAAACTATATCAAATTAAGGAATATACATTTATTACAATATGTTAAGGTTGCTCAAATTAACACAGCAACATGTAGCGAAACGGAAAACTGGAGAATTCGAAGATGCCAAAATTGAAACATCCATTAAGAATCATGCTAAGGAAAAGAAGGACAACCATGGTGGCGGCGCCACTGTGCATCATGGGCCTAGAGGGCGTGCTATGCTTGATCAAATTTTTAGCGAATAGAATCGAATGCAAAGAAATTTGCATATACAGTCGACTCTCATTAATCCGAAGGCCTTGGGATTTTCTAAATTAGCTCGTATTATCCGGACCTCGTCTTACGCGAAAGCTGCTGTTCCGCTTGTCGCATGTGTAACCGATCGACCGCATCGTTAAGCATACAGTACATCATGTATAACCTCCTGTACATACATGTAGGCCTACATGTACTTTGTATGCACATACGTGTGGTTTGGAATTTAATTTTAAAACAGTTTAAGTTTATGAAAGTGAGAAGTAACTGTACTTTTTATGAATAAAGACTTGAAATAAAGAACAATAACATACTACAAGAACGGAGAAACCGGTCAAGTCGGGTTGGAGAATGCATGGTTGGAGTGATGCCGTTTTACATCCCCAGCACGCCGTGATGAGATCATCATACAACGTACGCACGTAAGTACATTAACATTTTAGGTGGTAACCAACATCAGTGCTGTGCTTGTTGCATAAAAAGGGCGGGAACCAGTTATTGGTGGTGTGGATTGGCCAGTAGAGGGCTTCACTTGGTGAATGAAAACCACAGCGCTTTACTGCTGTACACAATCATGTACGGAAGCACCTTTCCGAATTCAATGGATTGACTGATTGACAAGTTGCCTTCAAAAACGCTTGTGCTAATTAGACAGCTGGGCCCCCAAAATGCTCGTCTTAAACGGAAACTCGTAACAGGCGAGCTCTTATTATGGATTTTTTTCCTCATAGGAATGTGCATAATTCAGTCGGGACCAGCAAATATACTCGTCTTAACCGGAGTCTCGTCTTACCCGAGCTCGTATTACCGAGAGTCGACTGTATAGTGACTGTTTGGGTAGGTTGAGTGTAGTGCACCTTAAGGTTTGTACACTGCAGGTCCGTACGTTTTGAGTTGTAATAAGCTACAGCAGTTAACCCCTTGACGACGGGAATTTCTTTCCAAAAGCCGACTCCAAGAATTCCAGCCTCGCTTGGCCACGAAGGCCACCTGCCAAACCGCAAATTCTCGGTTGCGGCCCAGCGTGCTCTGCACGCTTTGAATTACACAGTGAAAAGGCTGATTGTTCGGTGGCATGTGGCTCAACTCACGCTTCCACATTCCCGTTGCCTCTTTTCAAAGTGGGGACTATTGTGAAGCTGGTGATTATGATGCCAATTTGGTCTTTTCATTTCTGGGCTACACATAAAGGCCAATTACCATATATACAAGAGTCGGGGTCTGCCTTCTTTCACTGTGTTTGCTCGAGCATGGGCCGAGAATAATAGCTGAAAAGCGGGCTGAGGATCTCAATTTTTACGGTGTGTCTTAACGCGTCCCGCCGTTAAGGGGTTAACATGCAGGCCTTGCAGACATGGGTTTCATTCTGGCCAAGTCTGCCGAAACACCTATTGTTTTTCCTTAAGCTTTCCCCCCCCTTTTCTCCATTTTTTCAGACTCTTTCCATAGACATTGCAAACAGTTTTCTTTCACTTATCAACTTTGGCAGTTTACTATTCTGATCACCTTCAGACTCGGCAGACACACTACCAGCCAAAGATGATCCTAGGTTTTGACTTAGGTTTGGTACACGTTTTTCAACAGCCTTTGGCACTTTACTGGCACTCTTCAACTTTATATTAGGTGCACATTTAGTCCAACAGCAACAGAGTGTCCCAAAAAATTGTCACTGTGACATCAGTGTCATGTGATATATCATTAAAGGTACAAATTCAATTCTCAATAAAATCTTCTGAACTACACAGTGGATTGGAGTGAGACCTTGTTGCAGATACAAAGCACTGAAACCAGAGCTGAAAACCTTATGCTGTCCAGAAATGCATTTCTTGTTTTTTTAATGAAAGGGTTTTTTCTACTAAACTTTAAAATTCACAAAAGCCATGTATTCTGTCCTAGTGACAGATACACAAATCTGCTAATCTTCTGTTTTTTTCTTCTTCATAATGTTCTCTCCACAACTTTATTCACTTTGTATGTTTTTTCTAGGTGCCACTTTTGTCACTTCGTAATCTTGCATCTAAAGTTACACCAACAAAAGACCCTTATGCACTGATGGTCCTAGTGAAATGATGTCATGATAACAACGTTACATGATTTTTATTAAATTTTGAATATTTTTTTGCGTAGGGACTCGAACTGAGGCTGCATGTAAAGTTGGTATGTATGCCTGCCCATTGGTCAGGATAAGTGTTTTTTGTTAAGAACTGAACCTTGGCACCTGCAGGCAGAACTAGTACGTTGTTAAGGCTCCATTCCGGTACCGAATTTAAGGGAGGAGACCTCTGAAGGCCGTCCTCCGAAGAGATTTGAAAGACAAACATTGTTTATCTGCCTCTGCGGTTGAAAAAAGATAACTGTGTTTTGTGTTTTTCATTTAAGGGTTGAATATAATCCACAAAATTTGTTGGTAAAACATAATTGCCTTGGCAAGTGCAGATCGGCAGGTCCCACCGCCTTGAGATGGATAGTTGTAAACAAGGTGTGCCGCGTCAATCAAGGGGACTAAAATAATCAGCCAATGACGATACCACATGTACTCCATCCGAGGATTCACTGCTTCATTGGCTTGCCTTATATGGAAGGTGGGGGCGTGTTTATTTGGTAACATAGAACAGAGGGGAATGCGCACGCAGCTTGTGGGCCGCAGATCAAATATGCACGTTGCCTACTTGACTAGACTAGACTTTATTACAAGTCTCTAACGTGTAGAAGAAAAATGACGCTCCGAAGAAGACAATGAAGAAATGGTCAGTTTTAGAGGTGGGAAGAAAACTTACCCTTTTAATATTGCATTTGTCCAGTGATATATTGCCCTGCAAGATTTGTGATTTTATTTCATTAATTTTAACTATGTAGTAACATTTTTTTTTCAACGTAGGTTTAGCTGTGATTCGTTATTTTAGTGTCACTGTGTGTGGTATAATTTCTTTTCTTTTACCGTAGGTAGGGTTAGAGGCATCCGTCCCCGGGAAAGATCGACACATCACCAATGTCAGCAGGGTTAGGTTCTCCCTGTTGGCAGGGCAGATGTATCCCCATACGGTGGTTTGGGTACTAGCGCGGTGACATTCATTCATTTAGCCTTATCTTTCATTTCTTAAATTAAATTAATTAAGTTAATTTTTTTAACGTTGACTTGTACTGTGCCGTTGATCATTTTTATGGAAACGGTACATTATAAATTATTATTATTATTACTCTAACGTTTACAAAACCTAAACCTAGAATGTTCTATTCACATTTAATGCAATTTGTAAAGATTACTGTCAGGCAAAAGCACCAGAAGACAGTCACAAGGCTAATTACAAAATGTTTTAAGAAATTTCATCAGATGCCTGTACCCTCTGCAGTTGAAGAAGATTGAAATAAGAAGAAGAAATAACGCAAAACAGGAAATCACATTACTTCATGGCTAACTTGTGATTTAGGAATGTTAAAACTTAATGTGAGATGTGGGAAAGCTCGTGCAGAAAGAAAAAGAAACAAAACTGGTAAGGAAGACTTTATCCATTTGATGAAATGCCTATTCGTAGCAGATTAACCCTAACCCTCCTCAATCCTCCAACAGGTGAAGGATTCAGGAGGGTTAGGGTTAAGCTAAAACAGGGTGCATAAATTTGGTGAAAATACCTGTGATGAATGACCCATTTTTACTCCTCCTGACTCTGGAACTAACAATACATGCATTTTGAAGTTGGCAACATAGAAGGCACAAAACAATGCTTCAAATAAAATTAGGGTGCTGTCAATTTTCAGTACCATTTTGTTTATCTGAACCCTGTTTTAAAAATGATGTCTATCAGGAAAAACATATTTCAAAATGATAATCTGAAACTTCTGACATAAAAGATGCACCATTAACTATATACATGTATATGTACATGTGCCGGTATATAGACCAGGGAGGAGGAATAAATGGGAAAGTATTTGGAGTGGGATGTTAGTGATGGCAAAGGGAAAGAACAAATGTTCAAATAAAATCCCAAAACATCAAATTCAACTTACAGTCTAACATCTTCATACGCAGGTACATTCTCAATTTCAAATCCCTCATTGATTAGCTGGTCTAATACAGTGCTGTTCCCGAGGAAATGCCCTGGAAGAGTAAAAGATAAAGTGAATTTTTACTCACAGTTACAGAAATGTCCCTCTGATTTTAGCTGATAAAATTGTTGAATAAAAATTGGCAGAAATGAATGACTTGAAAATGCATGTTACTCTTACATCTACATGCAACTTGGGTAAATAGTCATGTCCATTCTCCTGAGCCGTTAGTTTAAGACTGGCCAAGCACATATTTAATCCAGTTCATAAAATACCTTTTTAGTGAGACAGTCGAAAAAGTCAATTTATGACGAATTTCCAATGATTTTGTTCTTGAATTTTACTTTCATTTTCCCGAACACTCCCATCAATTTTCTTGTATATTCCTTTTACAAACTGTCTGACAGAATCTCCTTGTATGGACTTGGTGCGAGCATGACAAGGTGCATGAACACAGACTCTTGACCAATCAGAATCAATTAAACTGTCTCACATTCAGGTGCCAGCGTTTGATTTATGCAGCCAGCATTATCAAATGTTAATACATGGGGTCAAGTAGCCCATGTACAATAAGGAGACTGTCTGAGGTACCGGTATTTATGAATTACGTTTTAAAACATGTTGGGAAACTTGAGGGGCAAGGTGAAGTACAAACATGATGCCTGCAATATATGCAGGTATTAAAGTGTTTGTCAAGGAAATCCAATACGCCAATCAAGGCCAAAGTATTTCAAATTCAGCCATGATCTTGCTTTCCATGATTGTAAAACATGATAATCAACCTACAACAAGGAAAAGGTTTATGTAGGTCTACATTATACATATATTGATACAGCGAACAAATTTTGGCCTTCAGGTTTTGACCAAGTGCTTAATTGTAGGTAGTATCATAATATGTATTCTGCGGACAATCCATGCTGCAGAATCTCAATGGAATTACTCCCCATTTTCATGTGATAAATACTGTAACAACAATAGTCTAAAAACCACACAGAAGTAAACCAAGCTGAACCACAACACACAAAAAAATAAGGGTTTATACAGTCTACACAAACTTTATTCCCTCATGAGGATTGACTTAAATTCAGCAGGAACAAATTCACATTTCAATTGGCTGGTTATTATTTTATACATCCACATTTCCAGCCCCCCATCACCTAAGATGATGGTAGCAGATTTTAGTAATCCTAAGACGATTGCAGAAATATTTAATGTGCCATGAATATACACTGACAACAAATGCTGTTTCCCCCAAAAGAGATTCGTTTAAGTGGCTTAGCACACCCTTTAAGTGTCGATCACCTGTAATCACTGTCAAAGTGTAGCCTGAACAAAAGTTCCATTACAGTTCCAGGGACTGTTAAAAAGATACCTATGCAATGAATATCCACAGAATTCCTAACCATAACAAAAGAAAAGAAAAGAAAACACACACATGATTTGTTTGAGGGAGGTGAATAAACAAACCCCAAATTCCAGTAGGGATTTAGTGTTGGAAGGGAACGTACTCCACAAAAAAAACACAACTCTCCTTCACCGATAAGCTGCAAGGTACATGTACTAGCAACTGAATCATAATGAGCTTTATTGAAAGTGATCGCTAGATCCCTGTCTTAAAAGATCTGATGAGTCTCTTTTCAAAATAGGAAAGGGGATTCCGAAGAATTAGCCCTGAGCAATATTAGCCAACTGCTAAGGGCATAAAATCTGGTTTTAGAATGTTTTCCATGAATCTCCTTACAGGGGGACACTGAACAATCCAGAACATGCACAGGACCTTAACCAAAATTGTCAAAAAAGGGTTCAAATGCGATGGCTTGTGATCCCCAGATGGGATTCAGGCTAAGGGGGTTGGGAAGCTTGTTCTCACAAAAATTTAAAAAGAATATCAAATCTTGCAATTTGGTGCCCCTAAAGACAAATGCAAGACCCATTACGTAGGCCTGCTATGCAGCTAAAGAATTCGAAGACAACTGAAATCCTTGCTTAAAAACCCTTGCTTGAAAAGCTATATGAGTGTGGACTGTAGAGGCATGTAACAGTTTCTGGCACTTTTGTCTGCATACTCAGACAAGAATAAAGTACAGGTATGTATCATTTTTAAGTGCCTCTGGCCCCAAATGAATAACAGTAGGAGGAATGTCCACTATAGAGAATCCTTCTGGGCCTATGCAATGGAAGACTGGAAGACTGGCAGGGAAACCTCATAAATGGGGATTGAGCAACGCAGAGGAGCTAAGATGGTGGCAAAAAGGTGGTCCAGTGAGACCACCAAGGTGAAGATACCACAAAAGAAAAACACAAGGAAGGATAAATGCTACCAGCCACCACAAAAAAACTAACAGATACAGCAAAAGCTTGTCCGCTCTTGACTTTTTTGGTCAAACTTTGAGATAAATGGGTGCTTTTTAAGTCCAGGGTGGACATCCCCAAAAGTTTCCTCTCAGTTACTTTTATTACTGAGCCGCATGATTTTTTTTTTCCTGGCCAACTTCTGCCCAGGAAAAAATTCTGTGTCACTTTTCCCGGGGATGGAAATCCAGCATGGACAGTGGTTAAGTGGAGCACAGTGTCATGTTGCACACAGGGAAACTACGTATGATCATTGCACATTTCACCGTGGTGTGACATGTGATGAGTGTTGTTCCTCTTTTGGTCCCAATCATGGCAGAAATTATTATTGATACAATTGCAAGTTTGTTACAAATGTACCACTTCCAGATGATAACGAAGGACGGCAACTTTGTTTCTAAGGATGTAAAAAAATTCTGAAAGGTCATGAAAACATCTTGATAAGTCAATGCACTGCCAGCTTGGTTACCTCTCCTGGGTCTCAGTTAAATTTTCTCTTGTCAAAAGTCCAAGTGCGGACAGTGGTCACAATTGACATTTTTTCATTTCACCATGAGGTTATACTAAAAAACTTAAATGCTATGCAGAAACCTGTCAGGTGCAGAAGAAAATCCCTGCTGGGACAGCAGGTGTGGGCATTTTTGGCTTGAAAATGTTACAGAGAAATGGTAATCACCCCCTGTGAATGTTCCTATGGATAAATTAAGGAACTAAAGGAAAAAATATGAGCTTGGCCAGTCTTAAATGGGTGTTTAAGACTGGCTCAGGTGAATGGATGCGACTAACGCCAGAGCCGCAGGCAAGGGCATTATCAGCATTTATTTTCATGGACTTTTAGACCAACTAAGCACATATTTAGTTCCATTCATAAATACTATTTTACTTTCATTTTCCTGAACACCCCTGTCCATTTTATGGTTCATTTCTAGTATAAGTAGTCCAGAAGACCAATAAGAATGGAAACTTTCTCGTTTCCAGGTGCCAGCTACTCTTTATGCAGCAGGCATTGTCAAATGTTAATACCCTGTCACATCGTACGTTGTTGAATGGGAAAACTGTCAAACGTATTATGAATTTGTTGGTACTGGAAGGCTGGGCTCATCATGCTCATAAACATGTCTTGCTGAATATTCAGCAAGACTTGAGTAATGGGATATGTACTTGTGCTGAAGCCAAACCGTTGAACCAAACTAAAAATTATTGGACATGGCACTTCTGAACCGAACCAAACTGGTCGGTTTGGATGTTTAGCTTTAATGTGGCATGGTACTGATAGCACCCACAATGCACGCACGAAAACTTGATAAAAAAGCAAACATAATGAAAAATGGGTAATAAGTCATGCCGCACCGGCGCTTGGCACAGGGCATGGCATGTACACATACATGTACTACAAATGTACTGTACACGTACAGTAAACTTGCGATGGCCCTGCATCATGCGATGGTTGTAAAAAGCACATAGTAAGAATTCAGTAATAATCAACCAAGAACACACAAGGTACGGCATTTCCACTGCCAAACAGTTCTAAATTCTCACCACATCCAATTGGGCTTATATATACTCAGATTTAGCATTTTGTCTGCCAATCTCTGATAGCCAAGCTCTTACATTCCATATTAGGCCAATGATGTCATAAATGGCCGTTCAAAACTAATTTTGATTGGATGCTGATCACAGTCGGACTTGTGCTTGATTGAAGGCAACTCGAGAGGGAAAACTGATTTACCAGACAGGCCGATGCAGCGCTCCAGTGCGCGACAAGATTTGGTTGGTGACGGTGGCTTAACATGTCTTTCATTTGATCATGTTTGTTAACAGTTGTCGTGTGAATGCGTTGTAATGGAATTTTGCCAGATCTCTAAGTTGTTCGCCAATTTTAAATAGCACAATGCCATAATCTGTAGTGAAGAATGCTGACTTGATACTAGGTTTTTCTTTGAATACATCGAAAGCCACAGTTTAGTCATTGAATATGTTTTATGAAATATAATAAAAAAACACTTAAATCTAATTTGATTTTATATCCCATTTATTTTTTGAGCATGCTCTTTTTTCTGTTTCAACCACTTCATGTCGGGGTA